TCTGAGGAAGGGTCACCGGACCCGAAACGTTAACTCTGTTTTCTCCTCCACAGATGCTGCCAGACCTGCTGAGCTTTTCCAGCAACTTTGTTTTTGCACCAATTTAAGATGCTTTCACCATGGCAACCATAATACTAAAAATGCACAATTGCAGATCACCCCAGGGCCAATGTGGAAATGTAAATGGACAACACTGTTCCTTCCCATGAATGACAACAAAAATGAAGACCAGTTGCTCACTGTCCTACTGGTCCTCAGATTTTCAGTTCTTATTGTCTCTTTTTTTAATCTCGAGAAAGTTCCATGTATTCTCAGGTTTCATTGCTGTGCTGTCTTACAGCTGCTTTTCCAACGTTTTGTTTCAAATTTTGGTATCAAGTTAGGACTATAATAATAATTTTGCCAGAGATAGACACAATGATCCCACACTGCTCCATTCATAAAAAAACTTCGTAAAAATGTTCTGATATACCTTGTTTCCCCACTGCACCCCCTACCTCTCACCTGCCCTTTTGCTTTGGAAATTATGTTAAGATTTGAGAATGAAGGAGAAATAAAGAAGAAAGAACTTTCTTTGTTCAAAAGACTGATGAAGAAAAGAAGTAAAAAACCATTAATTTGTTTAGGTTCCTCTGTAGAACACGAGGCCTAACTACTAGATAGTGACTAATAAATCCAGTGAAAAACTTCATTGAAATCTTATTCAGCAGAGTGTTATAGAGTCATAGAGTCATACAGCGCAGAAGCAGACACTTTGGTGCAACTCGTCCGTGTCAACCAGATATCCTAAATTAATCGAGTTGCATTTGCCAGCATTTGGCCCATATCGCTCTATTCATGTACCCATCCAGATGCCTTTTAAATGTTGTAATTGTACCAGCCTCCATCACTTCCTCTGGCAGCTCATTCCAAACACACACCACCCTCTGCGTGAAAAAGTTGCCCTTTAGGTCACTTTTAAATCTCTCCCCTCTCACCTTAAACCTATGCCCTCTAGTTTTGGACTCCCCCTACACGGGGAAAAAGACCTTGGCTATTCACCCTACCCATGCCTCTCAAGGTTTTATAAACTTCTACAAAGTCACTCCTCAGCCACTGACATACCAGGATAAAAAGCCCCAGCCTATTCAACTTCTCCCTATAGCTGAAACCCTCCAACCATGGCGACATCCTTCTAAATCTGGCATGAACCCTTTCAAGTTTAACAACATCATTGAATCAGACAGCTTTGGTGCATTTAAGGAGAGGAGGCTTCGAGCATAGACGATAGGGCATAGATGATAGGGCATAAATGTACTCCTGCAGGTTTCAGCACATCACATGCCCTTACATTCCAGGTATTAGTTGACCAACGTATCCATCCATATCATTCATTGCCTCTCAACATCAATTGGAAAGCAAAAAGATTCATAATCCAGTGACTGTGCCTAAACCACCTGTTGTATTTTCTCGTAACTCCAATATTTTTACATTTGATTAAGTGAAGAAAATTGTTCAAAGAAAATTACAATATTTGAGAAGAAAATTTTGAAATAAAGAGATTTTCAGACCAGCGAGCACAGTTGGGGGTGCAGTTGGGTGAAATATTTAACGTTGATTTTAATGATTATTTACCCTCTGCCATCACAGTGGTAATATTGAGTTAACTTAGAGCACTTCTTGATGACTGGAGGGCATGAAAAATGCTATAAGGTGTTCATTCAGAGTTTATGTGGATTATGTTGAGCATTAAAATGTGGAATTAAGCATTTCATGCTTAAAAAGATCCCAATCTTTTTGACTGCCCCTCTGATTTTTCTCTAAGGTTGCCTACAACATTGTCCTGGAGATGGATCTTCAGTTCCTGGGGGTTGGGTTGCAGGCCAAACACTAGAACACAGGAGCTAGAAGAAGCAATGGACAAGAGTTAATTGGGTGGGAATAAGCTCAAGTGAAATAAAACAGTGGCACAGAGCAGATGGGTGAAATTGTTTTGTTTTCTTGCAGATAAAGCTTTCTGTCCTTTTTTTTTACCACCTTCTAAATATTACTTATAGTATCGCCGATTAATCCTTTTATGAGGAGGAACTTCTTCACAGATAAGGTTGTGAATCTGTCTAATTTCCCACCCAGTGAAGCCGTTGAGGCTACCTCGTTGAATGTTTTTAAGACAAAGACAGATAGATTTTTGAACAGTAGAGGAATTAAGGGTTATGGTGAACAGGTGGGTAAGTGGAACTGAGTCCATGAATAGATCAGCCATGGTCTTATTAAACGGCCGAGTAGGCACAATGGGCCAGATGGCCTACTCCTGCTCTTATTTCTTGTGTTCTTATGTTTTTCTTTTGCCATAATTATGGCAAATTTGTGGTTAAACATGGCCATGATGTAGAACCACTGAATGATTAAAGCGCCAATTAAACTAACTACTACAAGATCATCCTTATTGAAATTAACCAAGTGACCATTCAGCATTTTAATTCTCAACATAATCCACACAAACTCTATGTGAAGACTGTGGCATTTCTCATGCCCTCTGAACATCCCAAAGTGCTTTTTAGTTAATTCAATGCTCACCATGAGATATTAAACTGAGGCCAAGTTTGCTCAGTTAGTTGCAAAAGATTCCATTCGATAATGAGCTGAGGTATTATCCCCATTGACTTGGCCAATATTTATCATTAATTTGCTATTTGCGGGATATTGCCATGTGGAAAGCTGCCGCCACATTTCCTACTTTACAACAGTGATTACACTTCAAAAGTACTGTGTTGGCTGTAAAGCACTTTGGGATGTCCTGAGGTCATGAAATATACAAATGTGAGTCTCTCTTTTCTATATAAAGGCAAGTTACTGTTAATTGCAAACACACTTTGGCAGCATCTGGTTTGGAGGGACAGAGAACAGGAACTCTGGGAAATGAGGCATTACCCATTCAAGACAATTGATTGGCTAAAAGCCAATCATTTAGCATTAACAAAGTAGCACGGCATGGTTTGTGTCTCAACTGTTTGTGTCGTGTCTGATCGTAGATTTCTCCGGGTGCTCATAAGTGTGAAGGTCACAGAGGTCCTGAGACCAGACACTACTGCTTCCTTCCAGGCTCCTTCAGGATGATTATGCAGGCATCTTCGAAGCCACTAAGAGTTCACAGAGGCGTAAGCTTTTCGATACATTCCAGACAGTGTTAACTGAGGAGCAGGAGGTAACGTTAGCAGCCACGGTTCCATCTCCGGGCCAAGTTTGCAAAACAAGTGCACTGTTATATGGTTTAGCCAACAGTCATGTAGAATTATTTATGTTCTGTTTTTAACCTAACCAGTTCAGGGACAGCACTTAACTCATAACCTGCCTGGTTTTATGCTCCACAGACATTCAATCCAAACCCAGCCCTGCTCTTGCTGGCTGCATTGATGTAAATTGGAGCTGTAAATTTTGTTTCCTTTGTCGATTTTGCCCATAATTTTCCCTCTCCTCCTACCCTACATCTATCTGCCTCTTTGATCCCAGTTCTTGCAAAACACATTGGCTCCTGGTTATAGCAACACCTTGATTTTAATATTTGCATTCAGGTTTTCAAATCAATCTGAGTCCTCATTCCTCCCGCTCTCTTGAAACCTACACCAGGCCCACAGCCATCTGAGATCTCTGTGCTCCTCCAATCCTGATCTTGTGCATCTCCCCAGTTTTCATTGGTCCATCAGTGTTGATCGTGCCTGGACAACTTCATCTCGCCACTTTCTCTGAAGGAACTCCACGTTTGAGACCAGGCATCGATATCTCAGAAGTACCCCAGGAAATTGACATCCGATATGTAGCACCCTCTATTAATCATCATGGCACATTTATTACAAGTGTTTCTGCACTTCAAGGCTACTCTGGCAACCATCATGTAATGCTGCAGCAAGGACACTGGGACATGACCCAGCTCATTGCCTGGGCCAGGCTGCATCTCTGAGATCTTTGCTTACTGTCATAGTGCTCAATCACTCTGAGCCTACCTGGAAGCTCACAGCATCCCTGCACTGCCTTGGCTTGCCTTTGTGTGCTTTGACAGCAGACCTTGCTCCTGTCAAAGGGATAGACTTCACTCAAGGCTCCCACCTCAGTAGGTCAAGAGCAGACTCCTTTACCAGTTGCAGTCAGGCATCTGCTTGGGGCAGTCAGAGTCAGGATCATCTCATAATAGTCAGCAACTGAATGCTGGGAAGCCCACTACTCAACTTGACCCTGTCTGCCCTGCTGAGGGCTGTTTTCCCCCTGGAATGACAGAGAGAGAGAGTTAGGTTTTACAGATGGTGAAAGTGGGTGGCCCAGTGTTACTGTTGGTGCAGTGGGAGGTGTCCCGGGTGAGTGAGTAGGCAGTGCAGAGGGCAGGCTGGGTTAATGGCGTCGGGGGATTGGGGTGAGTGAGGACAAGTGGGAAAGATGCTGCAGACATTAGTGGGAAAGGTCGAGCATGGAAGGTGGGTTTGGCAGCAGAGGCAGAGTGAGTGAGGTATTGGAGACCCTGGTGAAGGGGAGAAGGAGGTTGACATTCTTCCTACACTACTGGCCATTCCTCCAGGTGGCTGAGACTGTACTGACCTAGATGGCAACCTTAGAACAAGTTGGCATGGCTTGGTGTCTGGTGTGCTGGCCCGATGGGAAGATGAAGTCCCAGGTCTGCACCACCATGTCCAACAGGACCTCCAGGTGACAACTTTCCCTTGTCATGTCTGGGGAAAATACCAGGAACTGTGCAAGGCAGCTCTGGACTGTCAGCACTCGCTCAGGTGTACAGTGGGGTTTTAGGATGGCGTGGGTGCAAGGCACGCTGGTCATTTCCAGCCTAACCCGGCAGTGGGGAGTGATTCCAGAAACAGTGCATGATAAGATGAGTGTGAGGAATGCCACAGGAGTGCGGTAGGTAATTAGTGAGGCAAATTTGGTACAATCTAGCAAGAGAACTCAATAGGCCTTTGGGTGACAATGCTTCCAAAAACGTGATGGAACTTGCACTTTGTTGAAAAAAGTAAGATTGAGCCATGGATGTATGACAAACAATCTGACAAATCAAAGAGAGTGAAATCGGAGAGGATCGGAGATGTTAACAGGACGGGAGGCTTCCAACCCACTTTAAAAATAAAACAAAACCCATTAACAGTAGGAGACAGGTGTTAAAATTCCAATGTACCTTTATTTGGCGCGTTAATGCAGTCCTCACTGGTAATGGAACACATCGCTCAGGAATAAAGGTTTTATCAACATTGTGTATTCAATTATAGATTCAGATGACAGGTGAAATTTTAAAGCCACAACTGGATTGGTTGAGTAGCAAGAACCTGCAGTGTTGGTTTGAAGCCAAACAACTAGAAATATGTGGCTGCAAGGCAGGGAGAGGGTGGGCAGGGTGTGAGGGAGGTCAGTATCTTGCAGGAGCACTTTAAGAGCACACACTCTGTGGCGTGGATTTGCCATGGCATTCCAACATGTTGTTACCATGTCAACTGTTTCTCACCACGTGTTTCTCAACCTGACAGCTATTTGTAACACACCAGGACTTAGTAACTGCTCCTGCAGCAAATTAATCTGCTGGATAAGTTGCAACAAAATAAATGTCTTAATGTTCAGACTCAAGGCATCACAACATAGTACAGCACGGGAGGAGGCCACTTCGCCCATTGAATCTGCACTGGCCCATGTAGAGAGCAATTCAGTAAGTCCATCTTCTCTCCCCATATCCCTACAAACATTTCTATTTAGATATTTACCCATTTCCCTTTTAAAAACTTGTTTCCATTGCCCCCTGCTTTGCATTCCTAATCATACTTTCAATCGTAACATGTAGGAGGAGAAAGATATATCACAGCCTGTGAAATCCCCAGCAGCTTGATTGAATCCTCTGATGTGTATAGGGACGACAGCTGCATGCTGCTGTGTGCCATGGTACTCTGATGGAATCTTGTTGTATTAAAATCGTCAACTGCTACATCTAATGTCCCAGTGAATAGGTGTAACAGGCAATGTACAAGGCTGCAGAAAATGTTGAATGAAGGAATTTTATAGCACAGAAGGAGACCATTCAGCCTGACATGGCTCTTGGAAAAGTGTTTTACAATTTGACCCAAACCCATAAAGTCCTGAGTTTGACTTCTGTTTTGAGTTAAACTTTATAACCTTCTCCAAACTCACTACAGTGTTCAATGATTTCATCTGTGTTTGATCATGCGACTCTGGTAACAGATCCTTGTCCAGTGCTTGATTGCTTTAGCTTGTGGGTGGAATTGATGAGTCAAATGACTGACTCGATACATGCAGAGAAGATTCTAGAATAGACCTAGGACTCTGGCCCTGCAGAGAACATTGGTATGTCGAAATGTCTGTGAAGTTCTAAGATGTTTGAAATATCATAGGTAAACTGTTAGTCATCTTTGCACTGCTCTGAGAAAAATCAGATAAATGAGCAAATCAACTCAAACACAACCCCCCATAACCCTCTAGAATCTCTGCACTCCTCCAATCCTGGGCTCTTGTATTGCCTGGTTCTCATCATCCTACCAATTTAGGCCATGCCTTCAGCTGCCTAGAGCATTAGCTGTAGAATTCCTTCACTAGAACTCACCTCCTCTTTTAAGATGCTGTTTGATCAAGATTTTTCTTCTGTCCTAATACCTCCGTTCATGGCTCAGTTCAAATCTTATTTGATTATGCTGTTGGGGTACTTTTATTTATGCAACTGAAAGAAAAGGTTCATCACAAAAAAATACTTTTAATAAAGTGCCCAGTTCTCTGCCTGTGAGAAACCTGATTTGAAATGTCTTTTAAACAAATAAAACTGATATTTTTAATCACTTCATTAGTGTATGCTAGTCAGTGAATTATCTATGTAACAACGTTTTAAATGTGCCAATAAGTGCCTATGCTTCTTGGAAAAATAGATGCAATTTGAAGGGCCTTCTTGAACCAAAGCAGTTGACAGAATCTTGCAATTGTAACCTGGATGCATGGTCAATTTTGAGGGGCTAACCAGGCCATAGCGCCATGGGGTTATATAATACTTACAGTGATGAAGGAGGATGTTTAACCTGTTGCATCTACATTGGCTATCTGCAAAAGGAGTCACCTTTCCCTGCCTTTTCCCCATAGCCCTACATTTTTTTTGCATCTAATAATTATCTACTTGCCTTCTGAAAGCCACAATCGAATCTGCCTTCACCTCATGATTAGGAAGTGCACTCCGCATCCTAACTACTCACTGAATAAAAAGGATGTTTCTCATCTTGCCTTTGTTTCTTTTGCTATTTATCTTAAATTGGTGTCATCTGGTGCCTGACCCTTCTGCTTCAAGAACAACTTCTATCTGCCTATTCTGTCCAAGCTGCATATGATTTTGAACAACTCTGTCAAGTTTCCTTTCAGCTTTCTCGAAAGAGAACAGTAGTTGAATAGGTTCTTATACTGGTCCATAAGACAACTGAAAACACTGAAGTAAGTACATTCAGATACAAATCACTTGCATTTAAAACTCCTTTCACTGATGCCACAGACTTCAGGGGATTTGTGCTGGAATCTGGATGCAAAACCCATAGAAACTTTCCTCAAAATAATTCAAACTCTGGAATGAAATTGATGATAATAATAGGTCAAGCAACATCAGGGGAGTTAATGTTTTGGGTTGATGATGCAGCATCAGAGAAGACAAATATTGAGTGGTTGTTGTATAAAGTAATGGTTCTGAAAGAGTTAATGCTGATGTCACATTAGGTCCTCCCAATCTGATGATGTCTTTTGCATGGAAAAATAGGCTGGAGACAAGCATGACATGCTTGGCTCCTGTTTGTTGCAATTGTGTCTTTCTAGTTAATATTAATTGTACCGATTGCTATCATGCAATAAACTGTGCCTCTTTATGTAAAGTGGATTCCTCTTCTTGTTAAGACTCTAGAATGGCCTGTCTTCTACTATTGATATAGACAGACCCCAATCACAAACAAGCAGTGACTCATTACCAGAAAAGATGACATATTGTTAACACTGATATCAATGGTTACAACAGTGCCAACAGTTTAGAGAGGCTAGAGAAAAGCAGAGGGGAGGAAACAACAGGTAAGATTGGTCTGTGAAAGACAGAAAGTCAAAATAATTAACTATGTTTTATAGCTGTATCTTCAGCTGCCTTCCCACTAAGTTCAGGAATTCCCTCCATAAATCTTTCTACCACAGTTTTCACCATTAACCAATTGACCAAATCTTGTTGATAGTTGCTTCTGTGAAGCACACTGGGCAATATACATCCCCTCACCAACATCACAAAGAATCATTAGTTGAGCATCAACATGCCGTTATTTGTGGAATCTTGCTGTGTGCAGTTTAGCTGTCAAATTTGTTAAATTGCCACTGTGGCTACTTCTGAAAAGTGCTCTATTGTCTGTAAAGGGCTTTGGGATGCCCTGATGTCATGAAAGGCTCTCCATAAATCCAACGTTAAATTTTATTTTTCCCGATCAGTTTCAGTCACAGTGGCGTAATTATCAAAATTCCATGACAGGAAACCCCACTGTCTATAACAACTATAAAGTGCCCAACCACAGATAGTGGCATTCTTGGGATGTTAGAGATCAGTTTTATTTACTAATAATATTGAGATTTGCTGTAGTGGGGGTTCATTATTTAATCATAGTTCACCGTTAGTCCTGGAGATTGGAACATCTGGTTTGGTGAAAGTCAATGACATGGTATCTGTCTCTGCCTGCAAAGGCCAGAGACACACTCTTTCAAAGTGAAACAAAGGATGAACAACCACAAGCATTAAAGGCATCAGACACAATTTAAATTGTAAACATAAAGGTCTCAGAAGAAAAAAGATGAAAGCAGTGGAGATACAGAGTGCTTGAATTATATCTGCAGAGAGATCCCAAGTATGCTTCCTTGGACGAATGATGTGAATGTTCAAAGGAGTACCTTCTTAAAGACATTGTGTATTTACGATGCAGCCTAACTACTGCTTTTGTAGCACAAGGAATTTCTGGAATGCTGACTCTTATTCTACAGGAAATATTAAGAACAACAGCATACATTTATGTAGCACCTTCAGGGCAATCAAGCATCCCAAAGCATCTGGCAGGAGTAACAACAAACAAAATTTGACACTGAGCCTTGTAAGGAAATATTAGAACAGCTCAGTATCTTCACATCACCCCCAGTACACCCACAGAGAGCACCGCCTCTCACTGATGTGTTTTGACCTGAATTACAATACGTGTTCGATAAACAAAAAAACACAAGTTTTCGCAAAGCATACTTCAATTAGGAGCTTAAAAGGAAAATTTAGAAAGCTGGCAATTTAAAATAAAGATGGATAAGGCTAGGACTGAGGGAAAGCCTTTTTTTAATGAAGAAAGATAAGTGGTTAGAACTTGGAATGCCTTACCCAACAAGATAGTAGTTACAGATTTGGGGTTATCCTTCAAAAGGGAATTCGATAATTAACTTCAGGGAGGAAGAGAAATTGCAAAGGTTACAGTGCACGAGAGTGTGAATGGGGCTAAAACACAAACGTTCGTGTCAACTCATTGGACTGAATGTCCTTCTTCTGTGTCATGATGTCAATAAACACTCTGCAGGCCAATCAGCTACTGACAGAAGAAAGCCACAGGGTTATGCATTAGCAATACCACTTCCTGGCTCTTCACTTAAAATTTAGGAACTTCCCTACTGGATGGGGCAGCACGGTGGCTCAGTGGTTAGCACTGCTGCCTCACTGTGCCAGGGAGCCAGGTCCGATCCCAGTCTTTAGTGACCCTCTGTGTGGAGTTTGCACATTCTTCCCATGTCTACATGGGTCCCCTCTGGTGCTTTGGTTCCTCCCACAGTCCAAAGATGTGCAGGTTAGGTAGATTGCTAAATTGCCAATAGTGTCCAGGGATGTGTAGGCTAGCTGGGTTAGGCATGGGAACTGTGGGGTTATTGGGATAAGTTGGGCATGGCTGGGTGTGGGTGGGATGCTGTTTGGAAGGTTAGAGTAGGCTAATTGGCCTCTTTCCACACTGTAGGTGTTCCATGAGGAAGACTGTTTATCTTAAAAGGAAGCAGAATACAGTTGATTAAAGTGTTTGTAGATGAGATAGAGTAAAGCGGAACATACCAACAGAAGTATAATGTTCAAATCCACATACTCACTCACCATTCAAATACATCTTAACTCCTTCTTTGTGCCTTTAAATACTGATCCAACTAGAATCTATCAATCTCAGTCATGAAAATGTCAATTGCTTCCCCAGCTGTTTGGGGATGAGAATTCCAGATGGAAAGATAGTTTTCAGTGATTAAAGATTGATAGATGGAGAGTATAAAGTTGAAACCATCAGAACATAGAAGAAACAGAGGGTTGCACACTTGCAGAATGTACAACTGGAAATAGTGATGGGAACAGACACCATGACCACATTTAATAACAATAATAATAATAATAATAGAATGGGTTGAAGGAATGGAGAAATAAGCAACATCAGATTACAAATACTTCTCATATGTTCACATTTAGTGGTTGTTTGATGGAACAGTGTAGAGGATATTTTACTTCATATCTAACCAGTGCTGAACTGTCCTAGCAAGTGTTTGACAGAGACCGTGCAGCTGGAGCTGGTGACAATGTCGAGCAGTAGTTTTCAACGGATGTGACCTTACCAAGTGTGCCATGAAATTGTGTACGAAGATAATGAAAATCAAAGTAAAACTAATATTCTTTCATCTTAAACAAATATTCTATCCTACCAAAATCATAATTCATAAATGTCATAAAAATGAATCAAATTGAAAGTGGTGTCAATCTTTTGATTCTAAAACATGAACATTCTAATCACATGTGGTAAAAGGACAAAATTGAAATGACGTGAAAAAAGTAGGTGATCCATGAAATTATTTCTCTCATTGAAGTGTGCCATGTTTCTGAAAATATTAGGAAACACTGGTGTAGAGAGAGAGCTTTACTATGTATCTAATCTATGTTATACCTGACCTGGGTGTGCTTCATGATAATTGCTGGGTGACTGAAATGGAGCAAGTGGCATTTTTTAGCCACTAACCCAGTGATGGATGGATATAGATTGTGTCTATTGTTCCTCTAAGCTGCAGTTTCCCAAAATAATGTTTCAGAAACCAACTTTCCAGCCAGTAAGTGTCCCATTAACTCTACACATTCTTTGACATTATTCTGAAATAGCACAGGTTACCACCTGTTCCTGTTTTAATAACACTGCGGGTTATTCTCTAGGATTTGATAATTAACAAGCCCAATTCACCTTTATTTTCATTCCAGACCTTTGAAATGTTACGACTTTTCTTCAAGCTTTAACTAATAGGTAACAGCAGTGATTAATCTTCCATATTGTAAGCAGCAACTCTGCCAAGAGGTATTTCAGACTTCAAACCCAATGTCTGTTTCTGAAATAAGCATCGGAACTCAGTAGATGGAATCTCTCCATGTCTTATCAGAAATCACAAAGCCCTTGATCACCCACTTTTGCCTGCTGCATTTCCTGCTTCGGAGATGGAGATTTTCAATAATAAAATTGAGGTTAGCTAAGTCCCTGCTGGCTGCATTTGCACTCACACCAAATGCTGTTCATTCACTACCCCGTACTCACGGTGTTACCAGAGCTCCCGACCCACCAATCCCTGAGCTTAGAAATTCTCATCTTTGTGTTCAACTCATTCCAAGGCCTTTTCC